TTTACCCTTTTTTTGGCTTCTTGCCCTTAAAATTTATTTTTTTCATTTTTGAGATTTTATATTTAAATTTTATATGCTTTAAATAATAACATAATAATTAAGACTTAACACACAAATTACTCATCACGTACAAACACAGATTGCTCCTCACGTACAAAGCACGTGGACTTCAACTAATAAAAGAAGAAATGCTAATGAAAATTAGAAATGCCAAATATTAGCAGCGACATGCGCTTGCTTCTCAAGTCTCAACCAAACTCTTTGCCTGTTTTATCAAAGTGATCTGATCATGTGACATAATAAGCCAATGACTTTTTACATGTACTTTGCTAAACCTCTTAGGGGGCGTTTGGTAGATAGATCCAGAATCATGATTTTAGATTCTGATTTAGAAGTGTTTATTTACAGTGATTCTGAATCAGTGTTTGGTTTGAATATCTGATGTGATGTTTTAAACCAGAATCACTCATGATTTTAAAACCACCTCCCTCTTGATTCAAGGTGATTCAAACCCCTGTTTTTGAATCATGGTTTCAAAATTATGTAGTGCGTTTGGTTGGTGTATTCGTACAATGATTCGAATCATGATTCGTGATTCATTACAGTATTTTCTCACACAAAAAATTCACGTAAATCGAGAATAATTCTGAATCATGATTCTGAATCCATGAATCAAACGTCACAATGATTTAAACCCAAAATCATGAATCATAATTCTAATTCCAGAATCATGATTAGAATTAATCTGATTTAAATCCTCGTATCAAACGAACCCTAAAAGTTTGAAGTCTTCTAGTCAACCTCTTTAGTGGTGAAGTATATACCACTCACCACTGTTAATCTCAGACGCACGAGGACTATATTACTTTAAATGTTCTTTTCACAAGTCAAGTTTAAATTTTTCAATCTGAGTTAAGTTTGTTAATTTTTTAATTCCTAAATAATTTTGATAAATTACTTCGTGAATTTTGACCCCTTTTTTTCCTTTTATACTTTTAAGCCCTCATATTAAAATTGGCCAATTATGCTTGAAACTTTTCAAAGATAGTTACCTTTAAAATGCAAAATGTGCATAATTCTTAAGTGGTTTGCAACAACGGTGAAGATAATAATTTTCCTTCAATGTAAGGACTTTTGTAAAAATCTCAATTATATGAAATTGCAGAAATCCTGTGTCAATTTTATTGTCAAAGATCAAATAGTCAAAAAAAAAAGGTTTAATAATCAAAGTGATACAATACTCATAATAAAGGAACTATCAATGTCAATAATCTTTTTTTTTTTAATCAACAAGGAGCAAGGTACATTAGAAACCATAAATAGAACAAGTTTTCAGGTTATTGGCTATATTAGGCCCCGAACTATGAGTATTGTGACAATTTAGTCCATAAACTCTTAATTTTGATAGATTACTCCATGAACTTTTATTTTTCACAGTTTTGGTCAATGAAATTAAATTTACAATCGATTTCTAAAATTTAATAATTACTGAAATTAATCTTACTATCTTCTACTCTATTTTTGTAAGGAAAATCCTGGAAACCATATAACAAGAGCAATTAGTCAAAATAATATTTGCAGTATAAAGAGAAAAGATAGATTTCCTCGCGTTAAAAAGATCCCCAAACAAAGAAAAAACAAACTAAGCATTTCCGGTAAAAAAAAAAAAGAGGAAGCAAACTAAGTAGTGATCCATATTACTATCGTTGCAAATACAAGAGCAACTGATTTCATAAAGAGAGGATATCGTTATACGCCGGTTTATTTTTCGGTTTGAATCAAGGTTCAAACCTTTTTATTATAATTTTTTCTCATAAAAATTTAAATTTATTGTTAAATTTATGATTCATACCTATAAACCAAACAACACTGGCCCTATTTGGTAAGGGGATTCTGCAAGTTTGAGCTTGCCGGTTCAACAAAACCTTCATTCGGGGCTCCATAAAATAGATTTGAGTTGAGATCCATATGGAACATTTGAACCCACCTCAATCTCAAAAATGAGAACTTGGCTCCTCCTGAATTTTGCCCATTTAAACCCATATGATTTCAAAACATTTTTTTACGTATATGTTCAAACCATATTTTCAAATCATACAGAAATTCACATATGATTCAAACCCAAAAGATTCAAACCGCTCAAATTCGAACCCTTTTGCCTTTAGTCCAAAGCAACAAAATTAATAGGAGTATTTATCCCTAGTAACTTGAGATGTGTGTTATTTTCTTTTATCATTTTTTTGAAGAGAACTTTTATCATTTTCTTAATTACTGTAAAATCTCTTATAAAAAAAGGTTTCAAAAATATTTGTTGTTTTTTGGAAATTAAATGGATGTCCGGTTTTGACAACCCTTTTTTAATTAATAACCGAATTTTTTTTTAGGTAAATGGCTGATTCTTTTTTTTAGGTTAAATGACATTTCTAACGCAGTGATAAATCATTGATATATTAGGGTTTATGATTGATTGATTAATGATTTATTAATGATAAATCAGTAAATTATTAATTGAAACTGATTAATCACTGATCAGTGATAAATCATACATCAGTCAATCCTTTATTCACTATTTCTAAAAACGATTATTTTTCTAATTTAACGAAACTTAGTTTATTGACTTAAAAAGTCTTTTTTTTTTTTCATATAATCTTTATATTGTCAAACACCCACACAAAAAAAGAAGTTCATGGTTGCATGCATGGCGTATTTATAATTATGCACAAAATTCAACCACATTATGTCGAGTTGAAAACAACCCAAATAATCTTCTTCTTCATCTTCTTCTAAGCTAGATAGCTCAAAAAAGATCGAAACACAAATAAGAGAATAGTGAACCAACTCCTACTAAAAAATATGAAACGATCGAGATAAAAATTATAAAAAAAAAAAAAAAAAACTTAGTAAAAACAATAAGAGAGTTTCTCTTGTAAGACTAAAAAAATGAACTACTAATAATTTTTTACTTTTCAACTATCATATATGTATAAGAAACTATCTCTTTAGATTTTTTTTTAATTTAATATGATTTTAAATAAATTTAACAGTCAGAAACTGATCATACTAATAAGGAGACCTATCGAAAAAGTCTCAAACAATAAAAACATGAACAGGGTGCGTTTGGAACTCGTTCCAAAATGATTTTATTTTTTGTATGAAAATGAAAACGAAAACGTTTTCATTTTCATTTTGGAATCATTTCTAAAAATGAGTTTGGTAGTTTTGTTCCGAGATTGTTTTTAGTTTAAAAAAAACTGAAATTGTGTTTGGTGGTTTAATTTTTAAAAACATCTAATAATATTTAAAATAATAATATATTAAATAAATAATATGATTACCGTTTGGTTGGAGGATTCGTTCTCTTATTCGAATCATGGTTCATGATTCGCTACAGTATTTTTCCTCACAAAAAATACACGTAAATCGAAAAATAGTTCTAATCTCATGGTTCTAGTTCATGAACCAAACGGGCTCTAAAATAAATATATTAAATAAACATTATATACATGAAAACTATAGAAAAAATGGGAAGAAGAGTGTGGATTGCTGCGCAAAAAACCGGCCTGAATGACAACGGTGCTGAACTTCTAAAACCAAGCTCGAGAGTGGTACCTCTTAACTAAAGGAGGACCAGTCAATACATGACTGAGCCCCAGTGACGAGTTAACCACCGATGAAGCGGTATACACATCAAACAATAGAGCGATCATATGATAGATGAGCACACGTGGCCATCTATCAGTGGCGGATTTCATATCAAAACTATAAACATTTTGAAAATGATTACCGTTTCAGTCGTCGTGGTCGACGGGGAAGAAAGAAATGAATGAATGTTCTTTTAGGAAAATGTAGAATAATACACCTACCGAGACGAAAGCCAAAGGTGAGTCTCGTAGGTGGACGTATCGAACCGAAATAAGATCTCAGATTGACATCTTGATACACTAATTTACCAAAATAATAAATAGAGTCAATGGTGACTCCGCCGTGGGAAGAGCCGCTTCTTTCTTGCTTGATAGTGGGGGCTTCCATTCACCAACGCAGACTAAAAGTGCTCTCCGAACCGTGCTGGATAGTCACCCATCACACGGCTCTCAAACCCAACCTGTGGTGGATCCCGGCTGATGTCATTTCCAAATTCTTCGCCTGCATTGCTTTCAAAGGGCTACTCATAAACATCTAGTTTCACATCATGAAATATTCTCTTGACACGGCTATCTTCTAACTGGATAATTGCAACCTTCACTTCGTATCCGGATCCGGCTAAAAGAAAAATGGAAACTGAAAACGATCCTATATCGTTTTCAGTTTTTGTGACTTTTTGAGAATAAGTACAAAAAATGTGGGGGGAGGGGGAAATGTATATCGTTTTCGGTTTCTGTGACTTTTTGAGAATAAGTACAAAAACGTTTTTAATTTTTGTTTTTAAGAAATGCGGTACCAAACGCATTTTTGAGAGCATTTTCATTTTTTTATTCTTGAAAAATATGAAAAACATTTTTAGAAATGATTCCAAAAGGCACAAAGTGTCTTGGGTTCGGCGGAAAGTATTCATTAGGCCAAGTGAGGCAGGGTCATTGAGTATAAATTATGGATACGAATTAATGAGTGGATGGTTCATTAGATAATATCTTTAGTCTGCCAATACTAATTTCCACTCAAAACGTGTATTGTCCTCCATTACGATGAAGCGTAGCCATATCATATATTCAACAGACTTGGCCAAGAAGAAAGACTGAAGTGATTTATGTGAATACACGGCCTCAGCACAGAAAGTCTAGTTTTGGCCCTTTCACGCAATTGGAGGTCATTGTGGGATTTGAAAAATCTTCTCTTTGACTAGTGGTTCTGTCATTTTCTTACATCCAGGAAAAAAAAAAAAAAAAAAAAAAACAATAATAATTAAAGAATTAAAAGTTGGACAAGTTTCTTTGCTGTAAACTATAAGCCTTAGTTTAATAAGTATGTCCACATTGTCAACATAATAGTTGGAGCTCGCCATAATGGATAATATGACCAACCCCAGATACATGCTTGTTGTTCTCTTCCTGTTGTTGTTTCTAAAGTCCAAAATTTGCCTCGGGGCTGATTCCATCTCTGCAAATGAATCCCTCTCCGGTGGCCAAACTATTGAATCCGCAAATGGTGTCTTTGTACTGGGATTCTTCAAACCAGGTAAGCCTTCAAACTACTATATAGGAGTATGGTATAAACAAGTTACTCCCCAGACAATAGTCTGGGTGGCAAATAGAGAGAAACCAGTCAAAGATATATTTTCTTCGGAGCTGAAAATCTCAGATGGCAATTTAGCTCTTTTCAATGAGTCCAAAATCCCGATTTGGTCCACAAACAGGAGCTTTACTAGTTCTCCCGTAGTAAAAGCAGTTCTTTTGGATGATGGAAACCTTGTGTTGAAATTAGATGGATCCAATTCGTCCAAACTGTTATGGCAAAGTTTTGATTATCCAGCAGATACGTGGATGGCTGGTAGTAAGTTCGGATACAACAAGAGGACCAAACAGAAGAATCGTCTAATTTCGTGGAAGAATTCAGAAGATCCTGCCCCAGGCCTCTTCTCGCTTGAGCTAGACCAAAATGACAACTCATATGCCTTACTTTGGAATAGGTCTAGGAGATATTGGACCAGCGGATCTTGGAATGGTCGTATTTTTGACTTGGTCCCTGAGATGGTCGGCCCTAAGATTTACAATTTCAAATTTGTCACAAATGAAAATGAAAGCTACTTCATCCATTTTGTCGACAACTATTCCACAACTAAATCCAAGGTTGTGGTGGATGTTTCGGGGCAATTGAATAGCCGATTTTTGCTACCTACCGGGTGGACTGTGGCTTGGGCTTTCCCAAGACAACAATGTCAAGTTTATGCTCTTTGCGGGCCATATGGCAGCTGCAACGAGAACTACTCGCCGTTCTGTAATTGCTTGAGGGGCTTTGAACCCAAATCGCCGAGTGATTGGGCTTTGAAGGACTATTCTGGTGGGTGCATCAGGAAAACCAAACTTCACTGTGGGAATGAAAATCCTGCGAAGGGAAAGAGAGATAAATTTCTAGAAATGTCAAGCGTGTCGTTGCCTGAAAACAAGGAGTATGTGCTAGTTGATGGTAAGGTAGATTGTGAATCAACATGCTTAAATAACTGCTCTTGCACTGCTTATGCTTATCAAAGAAATGATTGTTCCATTTGGACGGGGGATCTGTTAAATCTACAGCAACTAGGAGCAGGTGATAGCAGTGGCACAACTCTCTACATTCGGCTATCAGCCTCAGAGTTCCCAAGACCGACTAAAACAAAAAGAATGACTATTGGTCTTCTTATGGGCTCAGCTACTGGGCTAGCACTTCTCATTGGCCTTGTCGTCTTTATAATATTGAGACAAAGAAGGAAAATAGCTAGAGCAAGAAAAGCAACAGGGGATTCTTTAGTTGCTTTTGATTACGGAGACTTGCAAAATGCGACAAAAAACTTCTCGGAGAAACTTGGTGGCGGTAGCTTTGGTTCAGTTTTTAAAGGTACACTCCCCGACTCTACAATGGTAGCAGTGAAAAAGCTCGAAAGTGTTGGCCAAGGAGAGAAGCAATTTCGAGCAGAAGTTAGCACAATTGGCACAATCCAACATGTTAATCTCGTTCGACTTCGAGGGTTCTGCTGTCAAGTTACTAAAAAGTTGTTGGTCTATGAGTGCATGTCCAGTGGCTCTTTAGCTTCTCACCTTTTCCAACAAAACAATTCAGAAGTCTTGGATTGGAAAAGAAGGTACAAAATTGCATTAGGAACAGCAAGAGGGTTAGTTTATTTGCATGAGAAGTGCAGAGACTGCATCATACATTGCGATATCAAACCCGATAATGTTCTTTTAGATGCAGAGTTTTGTCCCAAAGTGGGAGATTTCGGTTTAGCCAAACTCATTGGGAGGAAATTCAGCCGGGTGCTGACAACCGTGAGAGGGACAAGAGGTTATCTCGCACCAGAGTGGATCACTGGAGTGGCGATAACGCCCAAAGCAGATGTGTACAGTTTTGGAATGATGCTTTTCGAGCTTGTATCGGGGAGGAGAAACTCTCAGCAAATGGAATCAGCCGGAAAATTGAAATACTTCCCAAGTATGGCTATAAGTGCCATAGTCGAAGGCGGTGATGTGCTTAACCTATTAGATAAAAGGCTGGAAGGTAATGCAGATTTAGAAGAGGTTGAAAGAGT